AAATACCAAGAGGTAATATATATATACCTAACCTGACCTAACTTATATAATATATATGCCAATAGTTAATATAATAATAAAATAATACCAAGAGATGATAATACTTTTTAGACTTATACAAAAAAATAACTCATTTTTTGGGGGCGTTACAAAAAGCTCGACCTTATAAAGGAGGAGCTCGATGGCGCAGGTGGTTAGCGCGTTCGGCTGCGATCGTTGTAGTTAAGCAACTTTCGCAGTGGTCGGTCATTGGATGGGTGACCAAAAATTTCTATCTCGAGTTCCTTCGTGCTTCGGAAGGCACGTTAAGCCGTTGGTCCCGGTTGCATCTGCAATCGTTAGAACCCGCCAATCCACACTGGGCCCGCGTGGTGGGTCATGGCCCAATCTCCCTATTCCATCCGTAGGGAAGGCCTGTGCCCCAGCAGTGAGGACATAAAAAGAGGCTGATGATGATGATAATCGCCGCTTATCAAAAAAAAATAATAAGAACCACTCGCCCTGTCTATGAGCGTTTTTTCTGCTTTTCATATTGCGAGCGTTTAAGTTAAATTGGATACTAATATTGTCATCAGAGGAACGTCACCTTATCTTCAAATTTATTCAGTTTTTTTTATATAACACACTTCAACGCTGTCCAAATACTCGCCTAAATTCTCGGTCAATATCATTTGTGGGTGTATTTCAAGCCAGCTACTTTATAAACATAATATAAATGAGTAAATGAATGAGTGATGACTACTACAAGAAGTTTATCAAAACACATTCCTACGTTATTATTACTGCATAATTTATTCGAGATGTTGGATATATAAACAACAGCCTCTGCTCAGAACAACAAGGCGCAATATGAGGTTTTTTCGAGCAACATACCATTTTCGGCGAGGAAATATGAAACAGCTAACAAGTCAACATTTATCCGCGGACGGCGAATAAAATGTTACGTTGACCTCAACTTAAAACGCTTCGAGGAAATACTTCTTTCTTATTTTTATGAAAGATTATTTCAAAATACATATTAATATACCTACAAAAGAATTTTTCTTAATTATCTAAAATATTAAAGGTTAATGAAATGAGATACATTTATAGATTATAATTTTCATCTTTGTATATAAAATTCTCGTGTCACAATGTTGTTACCATACTCCTCCGAAACGGCTTGACCGATTTTTATGAAATTTTATGTGCATATTCAGTAGGTCTAAGAATCTGCTTCTATCTATTTTTCATACCCATAAGTAATAAGAGATGTCCACCCCTAAATTTATTTTTTATTTTTTTATGTGCCAATAAAAAATACATACAACCCTAAATTTTCACCCTTCTACCCCTATTTTTATGGCGGTACGAAGTTCGCTGGGTCAGCTAGTAATAATATTCTTTTTTCCTTCGCTCAATATCCGGTTGAAAAGCAGCCAAATAATCAAAACCACACATTTAATGTCATGAGAACCATAGTGGCCTAACTTTTTTTTTACAATATTGAGTTTATAATTTTTTCCTGATCAAATTGATCATTTTGATAGAACCAGAGTGGTCTAAAAGTGATACAACGAATATTCACTAGATGGCAGTATAATCACTGTTACTGTTTTTTGTCTGTGATCTAAATTTGAGATGCCATAAGTGCCTAAGTAAGATAGGCCACTATGGTTAAAAAATGAGTTAGGCCACTAAGGTTCTCATGGCCTCATTTCTAACCTAAATCCATAGTGCATACTAATACTATAAATGCGAAAGTGTGTAGGTATCTGTCAGTTAGGTACCTCTTCACACTTAAACCGCTGAACCATGAAATTTGAAATACAGATAGTTTTCATCTCAGTGTTACCATCTTAAATTACCCTTTAAGGGGGTGCAAAGGGGGGATTAAAAGTATGTATGAGAAATAAATTTTGTACCTCATCATCAGCCTATTAATGTCCCCACTGCTGGGGCACAGGCCTTCCCTATGGAAGGAATAGGGAGATTGGGCCGTGACCCACCACGCGAGCCCAGTGCGGATTAGTGGGTGCTAACGACTGCAGATGCAGCCGGGACCAACGGCTTAACGTGCCTTCCGAAGCACGAAGGAACTCGAGATAGAAGATTTTTGGTCACCCATCCCAATGATCGACAACTGCGAAAGTTGCTTAACTCCAACGATCGCAGCCGAACGCGCTAACCACCCGAGCCATCGATTTTTGTACCTACGCAAACGAAATCGTGACCACCACTAAAGCCACCTGTTCCATAGTTATTGTTTATAGTTCAATAGTATTCAAAGTTGTTAATAGATACAAATTGCTTGTTCTTTGCGGTATTTTTGTTAATGTAATTTTTTTTCTTTACAGTATTTCTCATTTTGTTTACGTGATTTGTTAGATATTTTGCATCTTAAATTACGTAGGACATTTTTCGTGTCAGTCTGGCACACGCCCATTGGAAATACTGAATACCACATCCAAATTTTACGTCAGTCGTTACGTTGACATAAGATTCGATCAACATTTCTATAGATGACGGGTCAGAGCGTAAAATTCGTCTGGGTAAATATAGCCTCCCTTGAGGCGTGAGATCTTATTTTAAATTAGTTCGGTTAATACAAAACATAGTGACTCGCTGGCCAATGACTGGTAAAAATATTTTATTTTATGGGTCATAGGGTGATTTTACATTTTTTTTTTTCACCTTTATCGTTTTTTTCCAAGTATCAGATTTACCTAATTTATAAAAGGAACGAGTTCAGTTAAGGATTTTTTATAAGATTAAAGGTCGTAAGTGCGAAATAACATTTTGTTATTTGTAACCTTATTCCTTTGTGAGATGGTTGTTATTAGTTTTAACTTAAAGAAAATATGAAAATATGGATATTTTTTTTGTGTGTATGCTGTTGGTCGCAGATGACCTTTACAGCGTCACCGGGTTTGGGGACGGCCAGATCCGAAAGGGACCTCAAGCCAAGAATTGCCGAGTGCCTCTAGAGGTATTCCAGACGGATGGCATCTCCCCACGGGGGGAGTCTCCTCTCCGTCTGGAGCCTCTAGACCACTCGAGCCTGAGGGGGTCGGCTCAACTAGAGGGCGTCTCTGAGACTCGGACCTCGGCTCTATTTAGCCGTTGTCGTGGGGGAGGATAATCATGTATAGATTTAGTGTGTACAATGACGCCAGCTCCTCTTGGCAGCGCCCCCTTATCGGTTAACTATATTTCGTACATTCGAAAATAAGTGAGGTCTGGAGGCCTGGGGATCTCAGCCTACTCTAGGTCAAACAGATACATCTAACAGAAAGGCTTTGAAGTTTATAACTCCGAATTGCTGATGTACACACATACTTCACTGACTAGATTTGGTCTGGTTTCCGTATAAGTACTTTATTTAAGTGATTTAACAGGAACTAGGGACTTTGTATTTAATCTGAGGGGGCCCCCTATCGATCGCAAAGTACCCACTGTGAAAGACGGGTCTGGCTACCACTTTCTTCGGCACCAGAGTATCATTATCATTAATCCAAAAAAGTTATAAATAGCCATCACCATTAAGCATTCGTTTCAATACGATTAATTTAATAAGCAAGTAACGTTTGTTAATAGGTAGGTAGTATCAAAGGCCACTGCATCTTTCTGTTTGTTTGATTGACCCAAAAACCGATTGTAGTGTAAACATTACATCAGTGGACAGCTCGCTCAGTTCAGTGGTAAGTAGACCACGAAACAAGAGATCGCGGGTTCCATTTGGACGGCTTATAGATAGTGCACTTTTATTTGTAGACAGGGCCGTCTTTAACCTATTGTAGGGCCTGCCCCTCTAGCATGACCACCGAAACGGGATATGATGAAGCGATATATCGACATTAACTGTCAGACTACTGTCAAACTCCGCAGTAGTCTGACAGTTAATGCCGATATATCGCTTTATCATATCCCGTTTCGGTGGTCATGCTAGAGGGGCTGGGCATATTAGGATAATGGGGCCCCCTATGAATTTGATGTGGATTATGACTTGAAATGTAGTCATACTATACATATTAGTGTACTACTGATGATTTTTCTTTAAAATGTGTATGTGCTTAGTATACCATTATATGTATATTTAAATTTATCTAAGCATGCTGAAGTCGGAAAGCCTAATTTTTGGGCGAGAGTAGAATAGCTTCGCTTATGTAAAAGCTAGTAAGTTGGTATTGTAGTCAGTAATTTAGGTTCGATTTCATCGAATTATATGTTTTTTGGTATTAAATATTGATTATCGTTTGGTGATCTGACAGGAGCTAGGGACTTTGAATTTGATCTGAGGGAGGTCCCTATCGATTGCGGGGCCCTGGGCACTTCGCCCAAAGTACCCACTGGGAAAGAGGGGTCTGTTTGTAGATATTTATAAAATTTGTATGGCAGTTTCTGGTGAATTGTGCGTGTCTCGACAAATAATGTAACAACATATTTTGTACCACTTTTCTTGCAAATGAATAAATAAAAAAGATTTATAAAATAAAATAAGATTGCCGAATATTTTAAGAGTTTGTTGATTTAGGTGTTCCTGTTTGAATAAGTATTTTTATGAGGCAAACGTCTTTAATAAAGTTAGGTTATTTTTTTATTAATTTATTTCTTAATAGGCAAGTACCTCGTCATTTTTCCAATAAAATCACAAAATGTAGTTTATCTTAGAAGACAGATAATGTAAGTTTATTACTCAATCACTCAAGAAGCCTGAACAGATTTGCATGCAATTTGGCACATTTATAGCCTGTTACCTGGTTTTGTGACATATGATAATTTCTATTCCGAAAAAACGTTAGGTTTTCTATGCGATTTTCAAAAAACTAAAATCAACGCGGGCGAAGTCGCGGACGGAAGTTACAAGTTATAAAACAAACACAGCCATTGATTGGCTCAAATAAGTAAGAAAACAAGTGACAGAATAGTCCACCGCAAATTATGCGCATTTCCGAACTAAAACTGTCTGTAAGTAAGTCGATAAATTCTTTTGCCTTCCGTGAGGGAAAGTTATCAGGTGTCACATTCGACGTTTCATCGTTCGCTCGGTAGGAAGTCGTTTTATACGTACATAAACGTATCTACCCACATTGGTATAATTAGCCATACAATTATTAATATAAAACATAATTAGCTGCTGATCGATTTGGTATTCCACGGTATATTGATTGAAACACCGATAAAGCGAATATATGCAATTTGTCGTACATACTTGCCTACTTACTAGCAGGCAGAGCAGATAACATACCACTGCCAATTTTTCAATTATCCAGGCTTGAGGTTCCTAAGGATCTCACCACCTCTAAACCGCGGTGACGCTATGTCTCCTGCGACAGCATTCACACTCCAAAACTCACCTGGCAGAAAACTGGCTTTGCCGTCCTTCCGCTGATCCCCTGGCTCATCAGCCCTGCCAAGATCCGAGTCCGAGTCCACCTCCCCAGGGTCCACACCCTCACACCTCCCATCACGCACCACAAGGAAAGCGCACAAACACACCAGACAAATCCTCAATAACTCCCGCATTGTATACATCAGTAAATCATATGTTCATTCCATTACAATTAATTGCCATTTTCAAAGGAACACATTGGCGTTCGGCCCACAGTCACATTTTCGCCAACCTATTGCGACTGGCTAACGCGCTTACATTCAATGACATACGTGTTTAACGAACATTGTTTGATAATTAGTAATACCTAATTTCAAGAACAAAAAAAACAGAAACCACACGTTCACTTTTTCACTTGCTACACGAATCGCGAAACAGGATGATTTATGAACATCGAGAATTGAATCGAGCGTTCGAATCGGTTTGAACAATCGTCGATTGAACACGCGCGCCGCTCGCGGGGCAGCGGAGGTACTGGTTGGTCGGTCGGCCGCGACGGACGCCCCCACTACCTGCGCGCGCGCTGCGTTCTATCAATGCTTGTTGTTTATCAGTTACCGGCTTCGCTAAGCTAAGGCAAAGAGTAAAGTAAGTATACTAAGGTTTCTAATTGACCACGGTTCCCAACTTAGGGGTTTTGCCCCCAGATTTAGGGGCTAGAAGTGTTAAAACGGACTTTTTAGGGGCTGGAATTTTTTGGGGGATCTTTTAGGGGCCTTTTATCAAAACTTTCAATTAAATCGAAAAAGAAAGCGAGCGTTTTCTTTCAGTTTTGTGCGTAGAATGGAATGCACCACGATATGAAATGACTGAAGTGACCGTGTGGCGGGTTGTTTCCTAAGGCTGTATGGACTAAAGTTAAAAAACAGCTAAATAAGATTTAAAAGCCTGTCAGCTCATTTTCGTTTGATTGTCCTTTGGGAAATTGTATTTATACAATAAAATAATTTTCTGTAACTAAATAAGTAACGTTTTAATTAAGGAGCAACGAAAGAATTTAGATAATAAGTAGATACATATAAAATTCTATATTTTGGGGGATTTTAGGGGAATTTAAAAAATACTTAGGGAAAAATTTTGGTAAGGGTTGGTAACACTGTAATTGACCCACCGATAGATGCCTTAGCGTGCGAACCTGTAGTCGGTTTTACTGTATTTTGTGTCTCTAATTAAAACCTGCTTAAAAGACTTATTTCAAAATGGTTTAATACTAACACTATTTAAGTTACAATCTCTTAATTTATTAATAATCACATTTGGCGCTAAGCCCAACTCAACGGCCTTTTTATTCTCCCATTCCGAGACATATCCATAGACTAACTTAGCCATAGACACAGATCAATAATCAATAGATAGACTAAAAACATAAGACTTGATTGAACTAAACCAAGCTTATGAGGCTAAGAGCAAAAAGAAACAAAATTAGCCGCGTATTTCGTTTGTGAATACTGCCTTTTCTGTTTATTGGAAAAGAGGTGATACTGATCTAGTGGACTTGGCGATATTGGTCCTGCTCTAATGCAGTGCAATCTACCGAGTCCAACTGTGAATCTAAACCTTGGGTACTTAAGACAACATCTCATCAATTGGTCCAGCCGTAAAATAGATGGAACTGTCACTGATCAACTCCATAATTTCGAAGTTCCTATGAAAAAATAGTCATATCACATTAAATCGAATCTATAATGCATAAAAAACCTGACACATGCAGAGAGGCAGAGATCAATGCACAGTCAAACCAAATTTAGACACTTTAAACAAGGTTGTCTGTCATAAAAAAAATATTCTTTGAAAATTCAATCCACAAGGAAATAAGTAATACATTTTTGAAAAACACACAGTTACAGTTAACGCAGCCATTGAGGCCTTAGATTCTTAACCACTCCCTTGATAAAAATGTTACTATCTGCATGATAAAACAGATTTAGATTTTTATTTACCCACAGTAAACACTGTTTACTAAAGCAAAATATTTAAATGACCTTCAAAAAATTCTAAAACTACAATTGGTAACCATTGACCTATTTAAATTGTGCCTTTTTTAAATAAAAATGAGCAAATTCCTATATTTAGGTTTTAAAAATCAAATCAATGTTTTATTAGAAAATAACACATACACTACTTAATATAAAAATATTTTTAGCAAATACAATTTTCAATATTTGTTTTAAATTAAGTATTTTCACAATAAACATTAAGCAGTAAATCATTTTAAATTTGATAAAAATATAATTGAACAAACTAAGGCTTAGTACCTATAAAACTCTATTTTTTTATTAGTAAAATATTATAATAGGACTAGAAACTTTATCTACCTAAATATCAAACCAAATATTTTAATTAATAAATAACCTCGCCTTGTAAATTATTACAAGAATTACACATATTTTTTTTTGCATTTTGTTTTTGCACCTAACCTCTTTGTTACTCAATTTACTAGTACTTTAGTAACTTCTTTATCGCCCTCTGAAATAAAAAAACAGTAATGAGTATCATAATGATTTTTTTTAACGTAGTTTGATGTCTTCCAAAATATCAAACAACATATTTAAAATAACTCTGTACGTATGAGTTTTACAATTACGAAAACTATGATAGTTTTAGTGAGCTCGCTATCGTTGATTTTATTGTTTTCGTGTCAATACAACGAAACAGTGTTTAAATTCAATCATTAAATCATTTGTGTCTTCTTAAATTTTAAGTATATTTGAACACTTTTCACTAAAATGGACATAGAGACATTATTTACAATTATGAAAACTATGATAGTTTTCGTGAGCTCAAACTCGTACTAAGGGTACTGACCTCATCTAGCCGTTTTATTTGACTGTTTATATTTGATCATGTGTTTAACTATTTCTTTCATTTGCTCCAATTTCCTCTCAACTTTTTTTTTTTGCTGCCACATTGTTATCAACCTCCTTTTCCTATTTTCAGCGATCACCTCCAACCTCTTTACTTTGTGCTTCAATTTGATAACTTCATCCGAATCCATGGGATCAACTTTAACTGGATCTATTTCACAAATTGTTGGTTTCTGTTCTTGACATGGCTGCAAACAAACAACGAAAAGGGGGTTTCTTACTTAGTATCAAAATATGTGAGACTTTGGTGTCGATTCTGGCGTGATTCTCTAAACTTAAAACTAATTAAAGTATCAGTCTTGCCTTTTCATTCTGTACAGAGAATGACAAAGTTACGTGTTGCCAAATTTAAGTTGAGGTTTAGAGAAACATCCCAGAAATGACACCATTATTATATTATTTTATATGTTGTCTATGCATAATGGTGGTTAAATTTTGCAAGTATCATATTCATTGGAATAAGCATCATAAAATATTGAAACTATATAAGTTTCATTAGGTTAAAGTTAAAAAAAACTTAATTACTTGAGTTTTAGAGTCAATGCAATGAATATTTATGGAGCAGGTAAGCTTTACCCACACCTTTAATTGAAACCTTATAATCACATATAAATAAATTTACTCACAGATATATTGATTGAAGGTACTGCATCAACTGATAGCTTACGGAGACCACTATCTGTAATATAAAAGTCACTAGCTTCGAAATGCTCTGAACATACAGCACTGTATGAAGTTGAGCACCATTTTTCTTCACGGTTCACAGCCAACTCCCACTGCTTTCGTCTCACATTGTCTCGAGGGAATCTAAATTGTAAAATCATTATACTTTTCTCAACTAAAATCAAAGTAAGAAATACTTATTTCCATCCTAGTAATTATATAAATGCAAAAGTTTGTATGGATGTATGCATGTTTGTTATGCTTTTACAAAAAACTACTAAACTGATTTGGATAAAATTTGGTAGACATATAGTTTATGATCTGGTTAGACATTTTTGAGAATCCCGCAGGAAAGTAAGATTCCTTCGAATTTCACAAAAATGTTGAGACAAGCAAAAGCTCAAGCTCAAGCAAAAAACAAGAATTAAATATTCCATACTTCTACCTACTCTACTTTTAAACTATGTCCAAAATTATGATTCAAAGATGAACTAAACAAGAAGAAGCTCAATTCGTTATACCTGTGAAATGAAATTCCATTTTTCAATTTTGTTATTTTGCTTGAACAGTTCTTACAGTTGATGATGACACAGGACACCATAATCAATAAAATGATGGTAACTACTAATCCAAGTTAAACATTATACAAACAATTATCTGCACTCATCACTTTAATATTCTACCAAGAAACTATAAAAATAAATAAAAGCTACCAAACAAAAATAAAACAATTTTTTTTTTTTTAGTTCTATTCTTCTCTATTGAGAAAGGCAAAGGCATAGCCATGCAGCCATCGTCTTATTTTTGTATTAATCTTCCTTTTTTTTACATTAGAATGTGGGTGTGACGCATTCTAATGCTTCTCGGAGTGTTTGGCACGAAATATATCGAGTTGGCTTTTTCGATAAGCTTCTGTGAGGTAGTCAATACTACAATAAAATTCTCACGTCCACTTGACCGGAATAGCGTATATTTTAAAGATTCCACTAATTCTTCAGTTGCCCAGACGGTTGTAACACAAAATCACACCAATTTTATTTCACAATATCCACTATGAACAAATTTAAGAATAATTAAATTAAGACGCCAACCGCACTCGATGAAATCCCGCCAAAAACTCAAAAAAAATAAAACAAGCGGAATTTGAAATCGACATTTTTTTAAGATTCTCCCGTTTTATGGAAGGCAAAGGGAACAATGCCCACACAGCCTTGTATTTAGTTATTTTTTTTTATATTAGAATGTCGGTGTGACGCATTCTAATGTTTCTTGGAGTGATTGGCACGATATGTAACGAATTGGTTTTTTCATTATCTTCTGTGAGGTAGTCAACACTACAATAAAGTTGTCACGTCCACTTGACCAAAATAGCATATACATATTTTAAAGATTCCACTTGCCCAAAAGGTTGTAACACAAAATCACACCAATTTTATTTCACAATATCCACAATGAACGAATTTCAGAGTAATTAAAATAAGACGCCGACCGCATTAAATGGAATCCCGCCAAAAAAACTGTTGCGTCCTTTTTCTCTTCTTTTTCTTTTATTATGGCATGACGGCTAATGTTGCCATTTGCCTTAAGCAAGCTTCATTTGATGTGGGTAGTAAATCGATTAAAGGAGCGGAATATGGATCGTTGGGGTGGGATGTGGATATGTAGTGATTACAGATGGTAAAAAGTAGGAAACGATATAAACAAGAAAATGGGGAGATTTGCGATGAACAACAACAAGGAACAACAGGTGAGTAGGTAGGGGAATATAGGTAAATAAAGGGAACTAAAGTAAAAATATAAATATGAAGATAAACTAAATTTTTATATTTTTTTTTTCTGATAAACGTATGTATATATCAGGATAATTATTATATAGAAAGAATGGAATGGACGTTGGAAAAGGAATATTTGCTACCTTCAGTGAATCCAAAAAGGCGGTTCTGTCATATCTGGGGCAAGAAAAGAAAATATGGTTAACGTCAGCATCAACCTCGCCACATTCACATGTGGACGTATCTATTTCACCGTAATTTGCCAAACAACCCTTGTTTCTAAAAGTTCCGAAATCACGTAAAGGTTCAAATGTTATCAAAAATTAAATCATTTATTTTAATAAAAACAGATTGTTATCAACATTATGTTGATAATAATAATTTTAAATCATGTATCTTGGATGTTGTTAATTGCATGTGTAATTAATTACAGTACCTGAGAAATAGCAGCATTTTACCTGAAATAAAATGCATATTAAAATACTTACCTCACTGAAAGCTTTATATTGAGATAGCACTTCCGTTTCCCGTCGAATTACCATCAGTTTCCGTACTTTTATTCACCTTATATCCGGTCCAGTGGCGACACCTGGCAGAAGCGTGGCCATTTTTGTTTTCCTAAGTTTTGACAGCGCCATATTAACTCATTGGCTCAATTATTTCACCAGGCAGAATTTAAAGTGAAAGCTTTCAGTGAGGTAAGTATTTTAATATGCATTTTATTTCAGGTAAAATGCTGCTATTAAACTACTTGACCGTCACTGAAAGCTTTATATTGAGACCTGTTTGTTATCGCCTGGTGATCGCCACGTACATAGATATATACGCCAATGTGACAATTTATGATAAATTTAAATATTAACATTTATCAGATTATATGAAACTGTATAAAGAAACGAGTAAGCTTAAAAATGAATCAAATAATATTATTTGAATCACGCTTTTAATTTCTTCAAGCTTACGAAGCTGCTTTAACATATGTATTAGCTGATCGCTATATTCCTTTGCTTAAAACTCGCGAAGTATATATATATATACTTCTACATATATTTGCTTTGTTAATGACCGGACGCTTCCTTGTGTAGCATTCATTTGTATCTTTGTATATCACAAATAAGGCGTACGAACGCGAGAAAAAGATGTAAAGTTGTTCGATACTGAGTCTTACATTTTACAAGACTGTACTTTTTACTTAAGTACCAAAAATCAGGGTCCCACTTACGATTACCATTATTCGTTACAAGTCACCAATCGGATTGTCTTTAACTACTTTCACCTGTTTTGAACCAAAACAAGGCTAAACTAATCTTCGTCGGTACAAATACAATGATTCGGGATAATTTGAAGTAGGAACAAGTCATGTGTACCACATGCTGAACCAAATAATACGCAGCATAATTACTGACGTTCAGAACAACATATATGACGAAGTATTTGAAACAGATCATTATGATGTAACGAGTACATTATTGAAGAAAAGGAAATAAGTTAACTTATGGACACAGAATAGTAGGTTACGGACTGATTCTTTAAAAACAATCGACTTCAATATATGTGTTTGCCAAGACAGGTGAGCTTAGGTAATTAGACTTATCATCCATTGGTATATCATGTAAAAACTACTGACTTATTTAAAATAATGGTACTTATTTTAAGATAAGTCACGAGTTAAAAATAAGTCTCTCAAAAATCGTGTTAGTTCAGAGCAGAGTCCACAACTTGCGGGATTATTCCGATAAACATTCTTGTTCCTAGACCAATGCAACCACGCAAGCCAGCGTTTCCGAGCCATCTCATAGCTGTTTAAGACAGAGCTGTCGCTCTTTGTAGAATATGTTGAAAAGCGTAGTGCTAGCATATCGTGCCGTGTTCTTCAACTATACTTCCCAAGCTTTCATATTAGATTGGCGGGAAGTGATTGCAAGGTCGATTGCAGTGAATTCATAATTATTGTTAGAAGTAGGGAGTGGTTGATACAACCCCACGGAATGACAAAAATGTTGAAACCGATCAACTTCTGAAGTTTACGTTTTTACAACGAAATTCTCTGGTATAGTTTTTATATTGTTGCTGGGTTGCCGTGATAAATTATGCTATTACGAAGTTCAGACCAGATTTTATGAAATTCATTTGCCATCCTGGAATCTATAATTGATTGTAATTTTTCTTTTGTTTTTCAGTTCTTAGATCTGAGTCATTTATATGTATTACTTAATACTAAATAAAGATTTAGCTATTTATAAGATTTACATGAGGTGTGCATGTACTATGCGTAGGGTTTGAAGTATATTTATTCCAGACAGTCGTGGGAAGGTTAAAAAGCGTAAGTTTAATATTAAGAACAGTTTTCAGTAATTTTTACTAAAATAACATAAAGGGGATAATTGCATACAATGATCTTCAAAACCTTTCAAGAATTTGGTAGATCGTGCAATCTTTCTTCAGTAACTAGCACCACTTATATATCAAAATGATCATGTTGGCCACCTCAGACACCACATACACGACATTTCTAATATTGCAAGTTTCTCTCATTACGCGATCAAAAGAGTGAGCAACCCATTTGGTTTACTTTTGTTATTTTCAAGAGAAAATATGTTATATTCTATTTATCTGGCAGATAGTCCTTAAATTGCAGAAAACTTAGAATTCTTTACATATTTATAGTGTACTGCACTTGAGATTGGAGTTTGATATATATTGGATTTAGATAAACAAGCTTTTGAATGGCATGCGATACCATTAAATTTATTTAAGAATTATTTATGAAGCTCCCAATTTATCAACTTACCTGCACTAAATTTTTTCAAACATTAATTGTTTCGATATTCCTTTTTCTTTTGAAATGTATTATACATTACGGTAGAACAACCGTAGTGATCGAGTCAACACTTCACACCAATTAGCCTAGCCTTATAATGGGCATTGAAAGGCTTGTGTTATGGGCTAACGCCTAGAAATGCATAATGAGGATGCATAGATTAGAATTTATTAGATTAGATTTTGAATTCATATTTGTTAACAACCAAAACTTAGGCACAGATGCTCGTTTTTATCATACAATGATTTGCCCCACCAGGGTGAACCCAAGACCTCGGAGTATGCGACACCTTAAAAACCACGTACATTGCACTTCCCAACGGGGTACGTCAACATTCGATGTTCGATCTTTATAGTCTATTAAGAGGGTAGTTTATAGCCGATACTTATGTGTGTACGCAAGCCATGAGCGGGTATGTTGCGTTGCGTTGATGTATGGATTTCCACGCGATGGAAGTAATGAATTATGTCAAGCGACATTTATTATATTTTCAATTTACTTATTTTTAATGTTTCGAATCGTTTACACTTTTACAGACCCCATGGTCACAAAAATAAATTATGAATCA